GTCTATAGTTATCAGTGTATAGATTCTTCACATCTTCTTCACATCCTTTGTTAAGATATTTTACTCTTTTTTGTTGCAAGTGGAATTGTTTTTTTCATTTCTTTTTCTGAAATTTTTTTTGTTAGTATAGAGGAACACAATGGATTTTTGTATATTGATTTTGTATCCTGAAACTTTACTGTACTTATTTATTGTTTCTAATAGTTTTTTAGTGGAGTCTTTAGGGTTTTCTATATAAAGAATTATGTCATCTGCAAAAAGTGACAATTTTACTTCATTCCCAGTTTGGATGCCTTTTATTTCTTTTCCTTGCTCTGATTGCTTCAATACTGCATTGAATAACAGTGGTGAGAGTGGGCACGCTTGTCTTGTTCCTGAACTGAGAGAAAAAGCTTTCAGTTTTTTACCATTGAGGTGATATTAGCTGAGGGTGTGTCCTATATGGCCTTTATTTTGTTGAAGTACTTTCCTTCTATACCCTTCTTATTGAGTGTTAGAATCATAAATACATATCTTGTTAAATGTTTTCTTACATCTCTTGATATGATCATATAATTTTTATCTTTTATTTTGTTAATGTGGTGTATCACATTAATCAATTTGCATATGTTGAACCTTCCTTGCACCTCTGGAATGAACCTCACTTCATTGTGATGTATTATCTTTTTAATGTATTGTTGTATTCAATTTGCTAGTGTTTTGCTCAGGATTTTTGCTACTGTATTCATCTGAAATACTGGTCTGGAGTATTTTCGTGTGTCTGTTATCCTTGCCAGGTTTTGGTATCAAGGTAATTGTTGGTCTCATAAAATAATTTGGGAAGTATTGCTTCTTCAATTTTTTGGAAGAGTTTGAGAAGTATAGGTATTAAATCTTTGAATGTTTGGTAGAATTCACTAGCAAAGACATCTGGTCCTGGACTTTTACTTTTTGGAAGATTTTTGATGACTGTTTTCAATTTTCTTACTGGTCTATTTGGATTTTCCAACTCTTCATTTTTCCGTCTAGGAAGGTTATATATTTATAAGAACTTGCCCATTTCTTCTAGGTTATTGAATTTGGTGTCATATAGTCTTTCACAGTATTCTTGTATGACTCTTTGTATTTCTGTGGTGTCTGTCATAACTTCTCTTTAATTTCTGATTCTGTTTATTTGAGTCCTTTCTCTTTTTTCTTTAATGAGTCTAGCCAGAAGTTTGTCGATTTTATTAATATTTTCAAAGAACAATATCTTGGTTGCAATAACTTTTTCTATTTTTTTGTTCTCTTTTCATTTAATACGGCTCTAATTTTTATTGCTTCCTTCTACTGACCGACTTTGGGCTTCATTTGTTCTCTTTTTTCTAGTTCTTTAAGCTGTAATGTTAGGTTGTTTACTTGAGATTTTTATTGTTTCTTGAGAAAAGCCTGTAATGACATAAACTTCCCTCTTATTACCACTTTTACTACATCCAAAAAGTTTTGATATGTCATGTTGTCATTCTCATTTGTCTCTATGTATCTTTCGTTTTCTCCTTTTATTGCTTCTTTGACCCAGTCATTCTTTAGTAGCATGCTTTTTAATCTCCACATATATGTGGTTTTTCCTTTCTTTTTGTAGTTGATTTCCAATTTCAAAGCACTGTGGTCAGAGAATATGCTTGGTATAATTTCAATCTCCTTAAATTTGTTGAGGCTAGTTTTGTGTCCCAACATATGGTCTATTCTTGAGAATGTTTTATGTGCACTAGAGAAGAATGTATAATCTGGTGTGCTGGGATGAAAGGCTCTGTAAATGTCAGTTATGTCCCTTTAGTCTAATGTGTCATTCAAGGCCTATATTTCCTTATTGAATTTCTATTTGAATGATCTATCCATTGTCAATGGGGTATTTAGGTCCCCTACAGTAATTGTGTTTTTGTCACTTTCTCCCTTTAGTTAGTTCTGTTAGTAGTTGCTTTATATATTTTGGTGCTCCCTGATTGAGTGCATATAAATTAATAAGTGTTATGTTTATTGATGTATTATCCGTTTATATTATAAAATGTCCATCTTTGTCTCTTGCTAGCTTTTTTATCTTGAAATCTATTTTGTCAGATATAAGCATGGCTGCACTTGCTTTTCTCTGAATGCGATTTGCTTAGAGTACCATTTTCTACCCCTTAACTTTGAGTCTATATTTGTTCTTGAAGCTGAGATATGTCTCCTGAAGGCAGCATACACTTGGGGTTTTTTTGTTTGTTTGTTTGTTTGTTTTGTGATTCAATTCGCTACTCTGTGCCTTTTTATTGATGAGTACAGTCTGTTTACATTTAGGGTGATTATTGATGTATGAGGATTTCCTATAGCCATTTTATCTTTTTCTGGTAGCTCTGTGTCTCTATTGTTTCTTTTCCCTTGGGTTTCTGTCTGCTACATTAGTTTGGTGGTATTCTATAATTTTTCCCTCTTTTTTCATATTATATGTCTCAGTTCTGTGTGTGTGTGTGTGTGTGTGTGTGTACTATCTTCCATCTCCAAACTGGTTCTCTATGGGATAAATTCTGAAAGTAAGAGTATGCATTTAGAAATATTTTTATAGCAATTGGTCATCACTGAGTCATTTTATTATATTTTACCAAGTTTTGGTTTACACCGGATCAGGAAAGAAAACTTCTTTCATTGTGTTTAGTATGAGAATCACAGTTTGAAAGACATCGTGAAGAATAGTTTGGTTGATTATGAAGCCTGAGAAAAAGATTTGGGAATAAGGACAATGATCTTCTCCAACCTCTGGAAGAAGTATTTTCCAGAGGCCCCCATAAATAAAAGAGAAGTTGAAAGCCATATTTGAACTCTTGACCTTGATGATGACTTGGTGTTGAAGGAGAATGCTTAGGAATTAAATCCATACTGATATTGTTTAAATGACCTCTGACATTATCAGAGAAGTTATTCTAAATTACCTAATCTAGGAAAATAGGACATAACAAGAATAAGGTAGCTGTTGGGGAGTCACAAATTGTGGGAATGTAGAGGTCATAGCATGTAAAGCTCTCATGGGGCCTATAATCTCAATGGATGATGCTTCTTCAGGAGTGAGGACAAATTTGTGAAGTACCAGCAGCAGAAATGGGAGCAATACACTGAGTTCCAGACAACAGCTAATAACCAGACATATAGTTCTCAAGAAGGAGTCCTTCTACAACCACAATACCTGAGGTATCTGGCAATGTTTCAGAGGTACAAAATATACTAAAACCATACAACAGCATGCTTCTTATTGGAGGGAGGAGGAGTCAATATTTCTTGATGGTACATAATTAAACTTACCATTTTATATTAAATTCAAGTTATAATAAAACATATTTAAGAATATTTAAAGATAGTTTTGC